TCGACAAAAGACGTGCGACCGTACAGTAGAAACGGTCGCACGTCTTAGTTCACACTGCTCGATTCTCGTACAAACGCGAGATTTCGCCCGATTCTCGTACGAGAATCGAGCAGTGTATGGGCACCTTTAGTTTAGCACCTAGACACAAATGAGCACTTAACCCTTGCAGTGCTGGGAGTAGACCCACTGCAAGGGAAAATAAAAAAAAATAAAAATCCTGGAGTTCTTCTGTAAAGTGTATGTACACTGAGTGGCCAGATTTATTATGACCACCCCATCAGTACTTCGTTGGGCCACCTTTTGCCTTCAATACTGCGGCGATTCTTCTTGGCATTGACTCCACGAGATGTTGAAAGGTGATGCGAGTAATCTGACACCATGCCTGATGAATAGCACTGTCCAGTTCTGTGAGATTTGATGGTTGTGGGACCAGCTGCCTGATGGCTCTTTCAACTTCGTCCCACAAATGCTCAATTGGATTGAGATCTGGTGATTGTGGGGGCCACCTAAGCAAGGTAAAGTCTCCCTCATGTTCTTGAAACCACTCCTGCACAATACGAGCACCGTGGCATGGCGCATTGTCTTGTTGGAAGAAGCCATCTCCATTGGGATACGCCATCAACATGATAGGATGAACTTGATCAGCAACGATACTTTGGTATGTTGTGCTATTCAGACGTTGTTCCACACGAATTAAAGGGCCCAAATCATGCCAGGAAAACATGCCCCAAACCATAACACTGCCCCCACCAGCTTGAAGGGTTGTACTCATGCATGTGGGGTGCATGCTTTCATGCTGTTTCCACCAAATTCTCACTCTGCCATCTGCATGATGCAACTGGAAATGTGATTCATCGGACCACATGACTTTTTTTCCAATGCTCGACTGTCCAATCCTTGTGTTGCTGTGCAAATTGGAGACATTTTATCTTGTTAACTGCAGACAGCAAAGGTGTTTGAACAGGCCTTCGGCTTCCATATCCCATGCGATGCAGTGTACGGCGAACAGTGCGTTCAGAGATCATTTAAGAGGATCACTGATTTAAGATCTGCAGTAATTTGATGCACTGTTGCCCTTCTGTTGTCTTGTACCAGTCTTGCCACTCTCCGTTCTGCCCTAACTTTGACTAGTCGCTGAGGACCACAATTCGCACGTCCAGACCCAGATTTTTGGCTGACAGTCCAGTCTTTAAACACTTTAACAACAGATGCTCTTGAACATTTAACGAATTCTGCTGTTTTGCTGATACTCGCTCCATGGCTCCGAGCGCCAACAATCATCCCACGTTCAAAGGCTGTTAAATTGCGTTGTTTACCCATATCTTCAGAAAAAAAACACTTCTACTGTCGTGGTAAACAACCTGCTTCCCTATTTATAATGGTCTGGCCCTCTAGCAACTTCAGCGCCAAATTATAGCTAATTTGCCTATAAACGTCAGGTGGTCATAATAATCTGGCCACTCAGTGTATAGCCCAGACCTTTTTTGGAGGGGATAAACCTGCATCAGTTTGTTTGCTGTCTTAGGGGGAGATATCCCTTTACTTCCTGTCCCAGACATCTAACAGGAAATAAAGGGGACATTTATACCAATTGCGGGGAATTTAACTCTTGGTTGTCACTAGAACGGGTGTCCCCGTTTGAAGATTTACCCTCACCTCTTGTTCTGGGGACAGCTGGTTGTTTTTGGATTTCCCATCACTTTCATTGGTCACCAGGACCAACAGAGAAGAGAAGGTAATCCTCCTCGGGTGGGGGGGGGATACAGACTGCAATAAAAAAGGTATTCTTATCCTTCCCCACTTTTATCCAAACATAAAACAAAAAAGTTTGGGCTATATAAACACTTTATTAGGTGGCAAAAGCTAGAACAAAGATATCAGTCTCTCTCTAAATTATTGATTTAGGCCCCAGTCACACCTTATCCAGTGCGTCCCGGTGCAGTTTTGTGCCTGCAACGCACTGGATCGTATAATGAAGCCAGGCCGTGTTCTGGTGCGGGATGGGGCGTTTCAGTGCCATTCACGTCAATAACACCGCAGACACGCCCCCCCACCCGCAGTGCGATTGACCGCACCGCAACTAAAGATACAGGAGTGTCCTCCATTCCAGTGCAGTACGATTTGAAAAAGTGCATGCACATGCTTCATTTACAAAACTTCCTTCCGGCTATACAGAAATTCCTATACTTACAAGCGCCATCTAGGGCTGCTACCGTAGTACTCTGTGGCTTATAGCCAGGCAGGTGTCGTTTGCATGGCTCTAGCACTCCTAAATGATGATGATGAGTATAGGAATTTCTATATAGCCAGGCGGAAGTTTTATAAATGAAGTCCTAAGCGTCTGTGTCAATGGGCTTATGTTCACTTCAAGTAGGTTTTGAAGTTGCATACAAGTCTATTGGAATACAAACCTGTCTGATGCGGGTCAGAAGGAGCTCAACTGGAGGTCAAATGTATCTGTCAATGAGGTCTGAATGATCTGTCAAACTGATGTCATTGACACAATCTTTAACGCTTATCTACTGACCCTTGGGAAAAAGTCAAACGTTGCATATTAATAGCAGTGCTGGGTAGACTGCTTGGACTTACTGTCTTAAAGGAGAACTATGAGATGAGTGATTTCCACTCACCTCATAGTTCTAGCCGACCTGTGACAATGAGACTGTCTCAGGTCGGCTCAGTAGATCGGGAAGTGAGCGAACACATACCGGCGTTCGCTCACTTCTCGATCCTGTCACGGCTCTCTGCCATGACAGGGGAGGGACTTGATTCCCCCCTCCCCGCTCCGATCCTCCGGCGCTGACTGGCGGAACGGACGGGGGCGGGTACAGCTGGCTCTGCCTCTAGATAGGCAGAGCCAGCT